TTTTATTGATTTTTATCCAAATGAAGGATTTTTATGTTCACTCAAAAGCGTTAAAACCTCTCTTTGTCTAAATTATTTACACATTTATATTTGTCTCGACATTATTATAATTATTATTTTATATAATAAAATTTATTACTACAAAAAGGGGATTAGTTTTATTCAGTTTTATTATTTTTACGTAAATTTTAATATTATTTGCCGCTAATTAACTATTTATTTTATTTGTGTTTAAGTTTTAAATATGATTTATACTTCACTTGTCAGCCGAGAAAGTGATTGATTTTGTTAATAATAATGTTATTGTTATGTTTTGTGAATTATTTGCTTTTTTGTTTTTATTGCCCTGGACAGTTTGTTTTATTTTTGTCTAGAAACATTATTATGATTATAATGAATTAATCATGACGTTATATTACATTGTTTAATGATTAATAAGGATTTATAATAGACTTATTTATACATTTAATAGACTATTATCTCATGAATGAAGAATTTTATATCAAAAATAATATATATTTTCAGATTATCTTTCATTGCAAACATCGGTTTAATGATTAATCCTATCATTTGTTTTATATAATCATTAAAATGGTTAAAAATACAATAAAATAAATACATTTATTTAAATTTAAGCATGTATAGTTTAAAATTACAAAATTTAGATAATTATTTTAATCCAAATTAACGGTTATTTTATGAAATGTAAGTTAATTTAAAATTAAAACATAATAAAATTTTACATTTATAATAAATATTGAGTACAATTGCATAAACATTAGTTACAAATGCATATAACAAGTGTTATAAAATAAATGACATGGTTTATTTTTTACAATATTCACTAAATGTGAGACATTAATAAAACAATTTTTGTTTAGTTATACTATTTATAATTAATTAATTATGGATTGGCATAAATGTACAATAATCGTCTTAATCACTATATTGAACATCGATGTCATTTTGGCCACAATTAACTACGGCTGTAACGGCCGGATGGGAGAGAATGATATTGAATGTAACGCCGCCTGTAAAGGCAACGGGGTAATCTATCATTACTATTAAAGTTACTTGATAAATAACCATTTACCAATAGCAAATAATTAATTAACGACCATATGTGTTTATATGAGACCAGTACCAGATCGGTCACTGCGATATCTATATGAGACGTTGCACTTGCTTTGGCTATTATCTGCCGTATAATAGTCTCACACACTCTGACATGAGAGATAGCGATGAAGTGGAGGACTTAGCGGTGGATCAGCTCATCAATGAGGCCCAGGAAGAGGTCGCAGACGTCAAACCGTACGAAGAGGAGGTCCGGGAACTGTTGGACACTGGATTAGACTAGATTTGATGTAACTATGATAATTTATTGTGTAATTTATGTTACTTTATTGATTATTGCATTTTTAGCATTTTTAATCGTAAATTTAATTTATATTTTATATTAAAAATAATTCAAAACTTTATATATTTTAACTTCAATTCAATTTGTTTTAATACTTAAACACAACAAATGGATACACGAAATGAAAGTGAAAAACAATTGAGACGTTTTTTTGTAACACAAAAATTTTGACGAGAATTTTTATTTTGACACAAAAATGATTTTATAAATAATTTTCTTGTTATAAAAAATTACTAAAAAATATATTGTGTACAGAGTATAGAGAGAAATATGAACAAGTTTGAAATTACACGATAGACATGGAGATCATACACAGAGACGAGTGGACACAAGTGTTTAACTCAGTTCTTAATTATCATTAATAATTTAGTTTTTGAAAAAATAATTTTGTCTAACAATTAGGGTATTAAATACACGTTTAGTTATTATAATTTACATAATAATCGTTTTTACGAGAGGCAGTGGTTTCCGGGAATGAGTGTATGAGATGTCGAGGGGTCGGGATGTGTCTAACAATTTAGTATCCTTTGCCATAACCGCCATAACCATAGCCGCCATATCCGGCGTCGACGAGAACGGCGCCGCTGTATCCCTTACCGTAACCGCCATAACCATAACCACCATAACCTCCATCATAACCACCGTAACCATAACCGCCATCGCTGACAGTGGTGTAGGCTTTGGTGTAAACTGGGGCGGAGACCACCTTGGTCACTACCGGGGCGTGCACTATAGCCTTAGTCACGACGGGTGTGATCACTTTCTGGACGCTGGTGTAGGCGAGACCGTATCCTTTGCCGTAACCGCCATAATTGCCGCCATAACCGCCTCCATAACCGCCATCATAGCCACCATAACCTCCGTATCCCTTACCATAACCACCTCCATAGCCGCCGATCAGAGCATAACCCCCGTAGCCCTTGCCATAACCGCCACCGTAACCCCCACCATAGCCACCATAGCCTCCATAGCCATAACCGCCGGCTGTGGCGGTGGCGACGGCGAAGAGAGCGGACAAAGCGATCTAATGATTGGTTGGAAATTTAAATTTAACATGATTGCAATTAATTAATTAAATTTAATAGATTATGATAAAAACATTTTTATAACAGATATAAATAGCAATGTTTTTGCATTTGTTTTTCACTCGATTAAGCTTTTTGTTTAACACTTAAAAAATTAGAGCAAAGTTTTTGTTTTACAATAAATAATTTTATAATTATTATTAATAAATAAGTTATTATAAAAGGAAATTAAAAGCCAAAAACAAATGCAAAACTTCCTATAATTATAAGAGCACATTAATACAAAGACAACTAGATTCATATAGTTAAAAATTCATATTCTAAATATATAATAAATCAATTATAAACACATTATAATTACCAAAGTATTCATTTTATAGGCACAAGAATTGAACGTTTCGGACGACAAACAAAATATTTAATTAATACTTAAGGATTGATATTTTGTCGATTTTTCTCCACTTTTATATACTTTGCGGTTAGCGTTGCGTCAATGCATTTGTATATTATTAATGATAATACATGTAAAACAAAAATGAAAACAAAATAAAGTTTTAAGTGTTTGATCCTTGGATTCTGGATAAACATATTCCGTTCTCTCTCTCTCTCTCTCTCTCTCTCTCTCTCTCT